TCTAGGATTACTTTTGTGGGCATGTAAACTAGAATGAGAGATCAAGGTAATGTCTGCAGGTTCCAGGAATCCACTTTATTGTTTTGGGGGCCCATATCTTTAGCACTATGGTGCTAAATTATGGTGCTGAAGGAGACTTTTGAGAGTCCCATAGACTGCAAGAAGATCAAACCTATCCATTCGTAAGGAAATCAGCCCTGAGTGCTCACTGGAAGGACAGATAATGAAGCTGAGGCCACCTCATGAGAAGACTTCCTGGAAAAGACCCTGATGTTGGGAAAGATTGAGGGCACAAGGAGAAGGGGACGACAGAGGACGAGATGGTTGGAAGGTGTTCTTGAAGCTATCAGCATGAGTTTAACCAAGCTGCGGGAGGCAGTGGAAGACAGGAGTGCCTGGCGTGCTCTGGTCCATGGGGTCACGAAGAGTCGGACTCGACTAAATGACTAAACAACAACAACATCTTTAGCACTATAGGAAACAAAAGTAGGGAGCATAGGTTATAACAGCGTCCAAAGCATTTCCACCCCACCCCTATTTTAGCATCTAATCACAGTGTCTGACTGAAGATAGTTGGCCTTTGTTTTTCTTTGGGACTTATGGAAATAATTTTAAGGTGCATGAGCAACATGAAATGCATTCCACATACCACATGTGAAAGTTGACAACCCCAAGAAAAATTCTGTATTCACTCTGTGAATTCATATTGAATGGTGTGTGTGCGGGCTTGTAGGGGAAAGTTTTGTGCTTGTGTGGGATCCGGGAGTATATTCAGGAATACAAAAACATTGAAAGACAGATTATTTGTCTGCTGGTATCCCTTGTGACCTAAATCTGTGTTTAAAATATGCCTGGTTGTATCCGGAATAATATGCACATCTTTCATCAGGAAGAATTGTAATTGCCTTAGCATCTACTCAACAGAATACTCATTGCTGAGTTAGTACTCTAAGGAAACCTTTCTATTTTCTCTTTAAATATAATATGGAATTAGATCCTACTTCATGCCGAAGCCTTTGATTTTTCTAATAGAAGAGATTCTTTTTCACTTAGTACAAATAAATGTGTTAATGGCAGAACCAACATTTTCCATATTTGGCAGAACTAGCAGTATTGGCAGGAAGGATAAAAATGCCAGTCTCTGTATGAACTAGGAGCCAATCTGCATGAATCTGCTCTTGATGCTGGAAATGAGGGATGGGGTTGAAGGTCTGCTAAGCATAAGATGACCCACCCAGAAAGAAACAGGCAACTGGCTCAGTCTGGACAACCTTGCAGTAGAAAGAAATGCCTACCTCACAGAGTCGTTGTGAGGTTAAAATGGAGAACCATGAATGCCACTTTGAGATCCTTGCAAAGAAATAGCCCACTTCATGTACTGCAACTTCATATGACTGTGGAAAGTGAGTGGAAAGTGAGTCTGAAGCCATGTGTATGTATTTTATTTGACACACAAAATTCCCTGTAACCATTTCCTCCTTGCAAATGGGACTTGTAGACATGGATTTTTAGAAAACATTTTTGTGTGTGTAAGTCTGACAGACTTGATGTTGGAGGTTTGCTATATTAGCCCCTTAGCCTGCTCAGTCTTTCTTTCAGTATTGTTTTGGACTACTCTTCACTATAAAAATATATTGATATGGAGGATCTTTTTTTAAAAAAAAGCAAAAAGAAAAAAAAAAGGACAGCAATTTTATTATAGCCAAAGTACATCCCATAACTTTTAGATAGCTAAGATTTAAAAAATAGTGGCATTCTATCTATCAGTTTATTAGCAAGGTTGTTATAGAGAGATGTTTGTTCACTTGATTTAAAATATACATATTGAAAATTCCACTTCTCCAGCAACAGTTTTAAAATGTGCGACTGAAAAATTGCCTTGGTTATGTTTTCAGAAACAAAGGGATACAGTGATATAAGGTCAGATTATAGAGATAACTAAGGACAGAGGTTGGAAAGTAATATTGGGAGTTGCTACAAAACTATGGACATTGGGATGCAGAAAGGGGGGTATGGGGGAGTCTGAGAAAAGAGGGTTATGAGAAACAATATGAAATTATGTGTGTTTGTATGTTTTTTTTGTTCTTTTTTTTTGTTAAGTGTCTGTTTGTCTTTAAAATTTTGTAAAACCAATAAAATTTTTTTTTTAAAAAAAAGAAAATTGCCTTGATTGCCTAAGCTGTAACCTTGCCTGTCATGTGAGCAGCTGAGCTGTGAAGCCTCTCAATTTGACAGTATTTCATGAAAATGCTGACAGTTGGTCTTTCGCTCTGAATCTGGAATTACAGCAAATTATCCTAGTGTCATAAAAGCTCTGTAAACTTCTAGTTGGGTTTGGCTCCTAAACGCTTTCTAAATTGTTTGCCTCTTCTAAGGAGCGAACTTCTCTGAGTTATAAATGGAAAACATGTCAAACTTTTGCTGGAATTGCATTCTGATTTTAGATTATCATTCCAAAGCAACTCAAGGAACAGGTTTGGGTGCATTTTGTGGAATTTAAGCACATGAAGTTTCTCACCGTGAGAATTCTGAGAGCATTTTTTAATTCATAGAAACAAGAAGTCTGTAAGCAAAAGGGAGATAAGGGAAGTGATATGCAAAAGAAAGGCAATTTTGAAAGGTCAAAGAACATTGCCTCAGACAGACTCATGATCCTGAAATTAGGAATTTGAAAGAGGCCACCAGTTCAATCCTGATGTTGTGAAATATGGACTGGCATTTCATGTTGTCAGATTTTCCAAGAAAGAAATTAATGTTCCAGAAAACACATGAAGTGCTAATCCAATTTTTCTGAGCTAAAGAGACATTACTGTCCCCAGTCTGGATCTAGAGCTGATATTAAGCAGATCAGATCTTCTAACGTTTGTAGGCACACACAGGACATTTTCTACTGCTGTTTTATGTGGCTTTGGCCTAACAATAAAGGATTCAGCCATATGGCTATATGGAGACTGTAGACACACCATTTCTTTGCATCTAGTTCCTACATAACATTTACACAGGGCTCTCTGCCAGATTGTGTAAGACTCTGAAACCTAGGGACTCAGCTAGATGGGGTAAAGAAAAAGTGTTTAATATGTGTTGTATATGCAATATAACACTGTGAAACCAGATGGCACTGTGGAGTCCCATCTTTCCCTCCCGGATTTCCCTGTACAGTATGAGTTTGCAACGTGTTTATCTGAATCGCTTCTTTGACATGTCTAGATGCAGCCCTAGTCAGTTTTCACATTTAAGGCACCAGGGGTCTTTAAGGCATCAGGAACTCTGGCAGTGAGTAATAATAATAATAACAGAAATAAAAAAACAAAAAAACCACAAGCCTTTTGCAGTTAGGAAAATGCACTGGAAATTGACCAGTGAGAATGAACACTTCATAAACATCAGACATCATATAAGCTGGGAAAGCTCATTCAGTAGCAGAGCATCAGACTCTTAATCTGTGGGTCGTGGGTTTGAGCCCCACGCTGGGCAAAAGATTTCTGCATTGCAGGGGGCTGTACTAGATTGCCCTTGTGGGCCCTTCCACCTCTATATTCTATAATTCCCTGCAAACTTTGCAGAAACAAATCAGGAAGAACGTTCCACAAACAAGCCACCTGGACATGACTTAAGACAGCTCAGTTGTGACTGGAAAACAGGCTGATTCCATAACAGCAGAAGATGTCTTATGAGAGTGCTCCTGATAGTTCTCAGAGCTCGTGTTCCTGAGGGTGAAGACAGGTATAATAGGAAAACAAAACTTACCAGGAAATTTTCAAGCTCTACTATTGGTCTGCTTTCAACTTGACAACTGAAATGGCAAGACATCCATATCAGAAAGTACTGGACCAGTGTTGCCTCTCCCACCACCCTACCCTGCTTCAGATATACTATCCATGATGCGGGTTTGTGTATTTAAAAGAGCATTTGGGACTTGATCCGTACATTTGTTGCTTGATTCAGTGTGTGGTTTGTTTGCATTTTAAATTAAAAGTGCAAAACTGTTCCCAGGACTGGGGAAGTTTCTGTTTAACATCCAAGGGCACCAGCAGGTCAGTGGACAACTCCGTAGCTTCTGTCTGCTTAAAGTTTGTGGAACCACTGTTTCTTTCACAGCTCGATTCTGAAGAGAAACAGGTACTTTTGAACTCCTCCAGAGTGACTCTAAAAATGTTACTTCGTCCTCAGACACCCACTGATGGCATGCATACATAAAGAACACCAAGTGATCAAATGAATGAGCAGTAGTGAGCAGAACCTTTAGTATGCAGACAGACTAAAGGAAATAAATTCACTTAATGATTCTGCCTGCATGCGTGTCTTAACCACAAAGCCTGGAAGTGTGGAAATATATTTTAGGATTGGGAATTGCCAACACTACATTCAGCTCAGTCTGCAAAGGTAAATACAAGAGAGGCCTGTAACTCCTGCTGTTACATCTGGAGAAATGCTTACCAAGCTTTCTAAGAGTCCTGTGCGCCTCTTGCCATAGTCGGGTGTTGGAAATGGCATAAGGCCCCGTGTTTCCATCACACACAAACACACCCCCCCCTCCTGCTTCATTTTTTCTCCTTAGACATATGGCAGTGCGGATCATAAAGTTACATCATTCCAAGTACTTTCTTGCCTCTAAGGAAATTCTCCTTCAGTAAGTAAATAAAGCTAGCAATAAATTTGAATTAAAACTCTTTTGTGGATAACGTTTTAAAAAATCTGCACAGCCAAACACCTGGAAGGGCGGGGGCAGGTGGTGGAGGGGAGGGAGAGAAAGCCGTACTGCTTTCCTGCACAACTTTAAATGTTGACAGAAATGAATTGCGCTGTCAATGGTGCTAGTTCAGTATCAGATCAGTAGGACTTCATAATTCTGTTAAGGGAATGAAAATCAGGCAGTGATGGGTGGCTTAGTTTACTGAAGCATTTTGTGTACTGAACTTCATTCTCATAGATAGATAGATAGATAGATAGATAGATAGATAGATAGATGATAGATGATAGATAGATAGATGATAGATAGATAGATAGATAGATAGATAGATAGATAGATAGATAGATAGATAGATGATAGATAGATATGGATACATATATCTCCTCATAGTTGTTATTTCAGGAATGAGACATGTTCCTCTTCCTTTCAGGTCACAAAATACTGAGGGTGTGGCTCAGTCCATGCTCGTAACTCGCAACTTCACAAACTGATCAGCACAGGCTTCACACTCTAGAATTGTTTCCGTAAGTGCCATAGAGATGCCCTGGGCGAAACAGTAGCTAACTTTTTCCAGGAACACTCCACATTTCCAGTTTTGCTCAACTGTGCCAAAAAAACAGGTGGGGGAGAGAGCAGGAGTTTATGGTTATCCTGCCTCTAGTTATATGTCTAAATGTCAGCTTTCCTCACTTGAAACTATTGTGCAGTTGATCCTCCATCATATTTGTATTTTTTCCTGCTGGATTTTATATTTTCCCAAACAGGGAACCAGCTGCTAAACATTTCTTCATCACACGTTTCCCTAGGTGAAACCTGAAACCTGAACAGCACTTTGGAGAACCTAATCTATTGTGTCTGATATGCCTTCACATACTCCATCTTAAGTCTTGTGACTAAATGCAGACTTTGTGGCTTTAATACCAAGCCAGCTTTTAACATTTTTCTCTTTCCACATCCGATTTGCATAACATGCAGCCTGAACTCAAAAGGTTTCTCACACTTTTGTGACATTTTGCTTGGGTTATAAAGGTATTATCCCACTGTGGTTTCCCCCCGCCCCCTTTATGGGCCAACATGGATATCTTTTACTACCATGTTTTAGAGCTTGGTTATTGTTTACTGCAGTACTAACAGTTGACAGTCAGTTCTTCATGAGGTGAAAAAGACTGATGTCCATTTTGAAAACGTCTTCCGCTATTGCTTGTTGTGAAGAAAAGCATGCTGGGAGATAAGGAACAGACTTCTTGACAATGTGTTCCATCTGGTTAAGAGACAATTGAATCAGTATATCCAGTTATTAATAAAACAGAACACACACAACACATGCCTTCACCGCACTCTATTGAAAAGGCACTGGGTCCATAAGATTTCAGAGAAAAACTTCAAAGTATCCTGTGTGCTAGTCTTTCTACCACTCTCAGAAACGCTAGAGGATTAATAATACACTAGGTCCTCCTACTCATCCTCTAATCTACCATTCTCTATGGAAAGGAAACTGCTCTGACACAAGAATTGAATTTGTGCTCCTGGCCTTGTCAGCAAGAAAAGAGAGCTCTCATTATGTAAGTTATTAATACCTCTCACATTAAGTACCCCGTCTTCTAATTTAAACGTTTCTTACACTGTCAAAATAATCTTTTATACAGCACATTTTTGCATCTTTCCATATACCACAATCACACCATACATTTAAAGCACTATGATACCATTTTACGCATTCATAGCTTCCCCCAAAGAACAGTTAATTTGTTGGGGGGAGGGGCTGAGAGTTGTTAGGAGACCCCCTACTGTACTTCCCTTTGCAGAGGTACAATTCCGAGTTCCTAGGAAGAGGAATTGATTGGTTTTTGTTTTTTTCTTTGCTGTTAATGTTTTAATGGGGTTAAAACAACGGTTAAAAAGTTAGAACACATCCTGGATGAAAATGGTTTTTTTTTAAGGGAAGTGAAGAGGAATTGATTGTTAAGCCTCTCTGGAAATGGCAGAAACAGGTCGTTTCCCTTTAAGGCTCCCATTCTAAATATTTTTCTTCTGAAAGAAGGGCCTCACTACATGTTGCATTAATTGCATGGCTTGCAGCCACATCATAGATTATTATTATTTAATAAAAGCCTAGGCATGGGGAGGGCGAAGCATTTCCATAGGAACTGCAGTACATGGGGGGCAGGGAGTTAGGGGCTCATTCACACTTTCTATTGTCTCTTTTTGCACTCAGTTGTAGGGTTTTCTCTGGATTAACGTTTGTACTGATTTAGGGCTAAAGAGTAGGCTTTCCCTTAGAATGAAATAAGGGGAAAACCGCTAGGACCCACGCTTGGAAAGTGTTTGCCAAGTGGAAAACACCTTGGACTCGTTCTTTCTAGGCCCAGGACAAGTAGAAGGTTGGACAAGCCCTAAGACTTCTTTCCACAGCCACAGCCGCGATGGAAATTGCTCCCTCACTAGTGGTAGAAAAATGTTCTCATCTCTTTAGCTTTCAACTAAGCATGAAGCCTTCTTTTACTTTTCAGGCTGATTAACTGGTAAGTAAAATGCTTTTCTTTCAAATAACCACAGGAGTTTAGCTATGGGATGTGCTGTAAACAAAAATTGCCCTTTTCCCTTATGGGGTATCCAAGAGCCCATATAGAGTCTTTACATAGGTTCCCTATTGGTAGGAGAGAATAACAGAGGCCAACCAGAGAATATTGAGAAGTAAAGCAGCTAGTAAGCTTGATCTTTATTGATCTGTTGCAACAGGGTGCTCCCCTCATCTGTAGGAGAGGAGGAGGAACCGAGAAAAATGGCGCACGAGGCCTTACAAAGACTTTTGAAATTGCCGCCTTGTAGATCAAGACCACCCCCAGAAACATCATACATACATCACAGAAGGGGTGTAACCTAAGACCACCCCTCAGATACATCATACCTAAATCACAAAAAAGAAAGTCTAAAACAGAAATTTTGAATGTTGTTTTTCTTCTGTCGTTGTTTATCTCCTGTCTGGCATGTTACTTGATTGGATTGCCTGGGGAGCCTGGCCATTCTTTTGTAATGATAAATACTTAGTTCCTGGGCCATGTCACAGGCTCACACCCTATTCATATCTTAAATGTGCCCTTAAGACAGGATTTGTGAGGAAAGAGACAATGGGAGGTTTCCCACTTTGACCTTGCAGAGAAAACATTTGCTCAGTTTAGGAATCAAAATGGTTCCAGGTGGGTCTTCCTGTGCTGATCTATGTATGTGCTTGGTTGGTACGCTTATGAACATTACCATATATCTAAGACCTCAAAATTCCTATCCCAGATGGGATGGAGTAGGGGGTGAGTTGCTTCTCTGGGGTGCATTTGTCCCTTTCTCAGACCAACAGTGCCTATGCCTCTCCCCCCGCTCCCATTTTTAGCCATCATATCAACTGTATGGTTTTATGAAATTATTTAGGCATATTTCTTTTTTGTTGTAATTCAGTGACACCTGTAAATTCTATAATCTGAGAATTAGCAAAAACAAGTCACCTGTGGACAGGAGGAAATCTAATTAGCAAACAGGTCTGTCATTTGCCTGCGTGAACGAGTCAAACTGAAACCTATGTGAGTATTAATAGCTTGCTACCTTTTTTAGTACTCTGAGTACTTGTTTCTTCCTGATAAAAGAGAGATGTGAAACTCAAATGCTTACAGTTTGTTTTAGGCTACAATCCTTTACAGTGGTACCTTGGTTTAAGAACAGCCCTATTTACGAACTATTTGGTTTATGAACTCCGCAAAACTGGAAGTAGTGTCCCGGTTTGTGAACTTTACTTCGGTCTAAGAACGGAAGTCGAATGGTGGAAGGACACCGGCGGCAGGAGGCCTCATTAGGGAAAGAGCACTTCGGTTTAAGAACGGCTTTGGTTTAAGAACGGACTTCCGGAACAGATTAAGTTCGTAAACCAAGATACCACTGTATACAATTACCAGCGAAATAAGTGATATTGAACTTTTTGGGACTTACTCCTGAGTAGACAAGCAGAGCATTGCACTGTGAAGCACGTTGTGGTCCGACAGAGGATATTTGGCAAATTCTGCCCCTTTTTTCTTGGTTTCTGTGAAATCAACCCAGGCACCAGTGTCTTTGCCCTTCCTTCTTGCAGAGCCTATTATCTTGGGCCTGCCTGTTACCTTTCTGAGATAAAGTCTGCATCCTGCCTCTCCAAAGGAAAAGCAACACCCACTCACCTCTCAGAAACTGACCACATCAGCACAAAGTCCTGGGAGCACGTAAGTAGACGACCCTTTTCCTGTTAAGAGACTACATGCTTTAGCATAAGGCCTAATGCAGACAGGTGTGTTTTCATTTCTGTGAACTGGGATTGGCTTACAAATAAACAGAAAGACCAGGTGATCATGTTCCCTCCGCTGGACCCTTCCAAAAAGTTTCTCAAGTAAGAAAGGGCTCCTTGTTTCAAGCACCGACATGAGCCAAGCAGTTTAAAACAAAAAACAAAACAAAAAAACCCCCTCTTTTTTGTGCTTGGCTGCATCTACAGGGAGCAACAGACCTCAGGGAGAGTCAAGAACACTCCTTGCATTTGTCTGTATGCTAGAGGGTTTTTTTAGGTCTCTAACCAGGCAAAACATACCTCCGGTGTTTGGAGTGGTTATACCTCAAAGGGACGAAAGGAACCAGGAAAAGAGCAATCTCTCGGGAACTTGAATGCTGCCAAAGCAGCAGAAATCGGTAGGTGGAATGGGTTCTTCCTCCTGCAAAAGGGCAGGCATTATACAGAGAGAGCCAGGGGCGCATGATGCTTAGAGGATATCCAGCTATGAAGTTGTGCACTTGGTGCCTAGGACTGCTATTGAACCCTGTTGCATTTTGTGCCATACTGTATTTCTAGACTTTTAATGTGAACATTCCTGTTTCGCAGTACAGGTACCAAGCATAACACAAGGTATCTGAGAGACTGCAGTGCTCATTTGGAGAAGTCTTGGCAGAACCTTCCACCCCAGTCCTTGTTCCATCCCTCCTCCTATCCTCTGCCAAAGCTTTTCTCAAGTATTAAATACATTTTCTTTAACTTCACATATTCAGCAACTTTTACAAAAAAACAGCAGCAGCAGCAGCACACAACTCTTTCCAACTTTTATTTTCTTGCTTTTGTATTTGAGCATCTATTTCACAGTCTATTAAAAGTCGCTTTGGCTATTTTGAGAGCTGACGGCAGATGCATGAGCTGCTTTGCACTTCTCATTTTTTTTCCTTTTAGCCTTTACTATAATGCCCAAATGGGAACTTTCAAAAGAAGGAGTGATTGGAAGCACCACATATATGCATATCTAAAGCCTACCATTGGACGCAGGTGGCGCTGTGGGTAAAAGCCTCAGTGCCTAGGACTTGCTGATCATAAGGTCGGCGGTTCGAATCCCCGCGGCGGGGTGCGCTCCCGTCGTTTGGTCCCAGCGCCTGCCAACCTAGCAGTTCGAAAGCACCTTCGGGTGCAAGTAGATAAATAGGGACCGCTTACCAGCGGGAAGGTAAACGGCGTTCTGTGTGCTGCGCTGGCTCGCCAGATGCAGCTTGTCACGCTGGCCACGTGACCCGGAAGTGTCTGCGGACAGCGCTGGCTCCCGGCCTATAGAGTAAGATGAGTGCACAACCCTAGAGTCTGGCAAGACTGGGCTGTACGGGCAGGGGTACCTTTAAAAAGCCTACCATGCAAAAATTGATTTTGAATGCTTTTAGTCATTGTTTTTTTCTTTCTTTCAGGGGGTACTCAATGGTACTCAATACCAGCACCTCTTGTTGTTGTTGTTGTTAAAAAGTGTGGCACTTACTGTAACAACTTCATGGTGAAACAAAATAAAACAAAATCCTTCCAGTAGCACCTTAGAGATCAACTAAGTTTGTTTTTGGTATGAGCTTTTATGTGCATGCACACTTCTTCAGATACATGCACCTATTTTTCTAGAAAAAAAGGGCTGCAGTTTTAGTTTGTTTCACTGCGCTTACAGCATGGACACACTGTTGAATTTGAAAAGGCGGCTACACTTCTTCCTGGCAGCAGTCAATGGAGAGGGAACGCCATTTAACTTCACGCTTCTGTCAAAGTACAAGGCCAGCTGGGCTCTAGAGCAACAGCACGTTGAGTTTGTCTTGTGACCCATGGGAAAGTTCCCAAAGCAGGAAAGTAGAAGGCAGTGAAGAGAATCATCTGAGCTGCAAACGGGCCTCCTATGAAGTTCAGTGAAGCCAAAGGGAGCCAACTCCTGGGCTTTGCTAGACTGAACCAGGGATAGGCGTCTGGCTCTCGCTTGGAAGGAGATCTTGTGGCCTCTTTCTTTGCTCAGCCAGGATGAGACAGGAGGTCATGCCAGCTCCCGACATACTTTCAGGAGTGAAAACGTTTACGTGTGCCTCGTGATTAATCATGTCAGGAATTAGGCTCAAAGAGTCCAAAGTCAATATGCCCTTGAAGCTTAAGTGTCAGGGTCATTGGGAACGGGGAACGGTGCCAGGAGTCCATGCTGCTTTAATGGCTTACATTTTTCCTTCCACCACACTTGCATCTCAATGGCCAACTGGGGCCGTGTATGTATTACCGGCTTAAAACGCAGCTAGGTTGTTCTTTCCCCTCCAATTTGGATCAAAGCTGCGTTGGGGCAGAACATATCAAAATGGAGTATTTCATAAAAGACAACATAATAGATAACAGGGTAGATATGGAATGTGACTAATCTCATGTCTTTCCAAACAAACAGTGGGAATGCACGTGAAATCCCATAAGCCAGGATGTGTTCTTTGCACTAGTACTTTTTAGCAGCAACAGCTGGAGCGTGGAGAAAAGTCTCTTGCATAATCAGTCAGCATAATGAAATTGGATATGAGATATTTCTCAAAGATAATGCACTCTGGCTTGAGTAATGTTGCTCTGCATTGGAGAGGGCAAGACACTACTGAGAAACTACTGGCCCTGACTGGTATGGAATATCACCTGAGTCTAATTGTTACCCCATCTCTGCATCAAACCACACCCTCAAGAGCCTGCTAGGAATCACTGCCCAAATTGGTCCAGGGCTTCAGCAAGAGCATGGACTTTCCCTGCGCCTTTCAGCATCTTGGTTAAAAAGCTGCTCTCGTACCACTTGAGAAACTGGATGCAGTTCAGATCCGTACTGGAAATGTGGGCTTGAATTCAAGAGAGAATGGAGCCCGTTGAAGCAATGTGGAAATCATCAGGCATGTGAAGAAGGGAGCTCAGCCAAACCCACAAGATTTCTCTCCAGCTTCTCATCTCTTCAAAGAAAAATACACTAGTCATTTAAGAGAAGACGGGTGGAAATAGAATACGAATTGCAAGTTTATGGAGGGGATGTCTGCAAGAAGGCTTTAATGGCTCTTCATACAGTGGTACCCTGCAAGACGAATGCCTCGCAAGACGGAAAACCCGCAAGACGAAAGGGTTTTCTGTTTTGGAGGCGCTTCGCAAGACGAATTTCCCTATGGGCTTGCATCGCAAGACGAAAGCCCATAGGGAAATGCTGGCGGTCGGGAGCAAAGACTTTCGCCCACAGCCGGCCTTCAGAAGAGGACCTCTTCTGAAGGCCGGAGGGGGGCAAAAGTCTTGCCCCCCCCGCCTGCCCCGGGCGATCTTAAAATGCTGGCGGGCGGGAGCGAAGCGTTCGCTGCCGACCCCCAGCATTTTAAAATCTCCAAGGGACAGCAGAGAAGTCTCTGTCCCGGGGAGATTTTAAAATGCTGGGGGTCGGGAGCGAAGCGTTAGCTGCCGACCCCCAGCATTTTAAAATCTCCCCCTGTCCCGGGGAGGTTTTTAAAATGCTGGGGGTCGGGAGCGAAGCGCTGCCGACCCCCAGAATTTTAAAATCTCCCCGTGTCCCGGGAAGGTTTTAAAATGCTGGGGGTCGGGAGCGAAGCGCTGCCGACCCGCAGCATTTTAAAATCTCCCCGTGTCCCGGGAAGGTTTTAAAATGCTGGGGGTCGGGAGCGAAGCGCTGCCGACCCGCAGCATTTTAAAATCTCCCCGTGTCCCGGGAAGGTTTTAAAATGCTGGGGGTCGGGAGCGAAGCGCTGCCGACCCGCAGCATTTTAAAATCTCCCCGTGTCCCGGGAAGGTTTTAAAATGCCGACCCCCAGCATTTTAAAATCTTCCCGGGACACGGGGAGATTTTAAAATGCTGGGGGTCGGCAGCGCTTCGCTCCCGACCCCCAGCATTTTAAAACGCTGTTCCGAAGGGGGGGGGCGGGGACACCTGGCCCAGCCGCCCCACTTCGGAAAGCTGTTCCGAAGCGGGGAGGGGGGGCGGGGACACCTGGCCCAGCCGCCCCACTTCGGAAAGCTGTTCCGAAGTGGGGAGGGGGGGCGGGAACAACTGCCCCAGCCGCCCCACTTCGGAACGCTGTTCCGAAGCGGGGAGGGGGGGGCGGGAACAACTGCCCCAGCCGCCCCACTTCGGAAAGCTGTTCCGAAGTGGGGAGGGGGGGCGGGGACACCTGGCCCAGCCGCCCCACTTCGGAAAGCTGTTCCGAAGCGGGGAGGGGGGGCGGGGACACCTGGCCCAGCCGCCCCACTTCGGAAAGCTGTTCCGAAGCGGGGAGGGGGGGCGGGGACACCTGGCCCAGCCGCCCCACTTCGGAAAGCTGTTCCGAAGTGGGGAGGGGGGGCGGGAACAACTGCCCCAGCCGCCCCACTTCGGAAAGCTGTTCCGAAGCGGGGAGGGGGGGCGGGAACAACTGCCCCAGCCGCCCCACTTCGGAACGCTGTTCCGAAGCGGGGCGGGGGCGGGAACACCTTCTGAAGGCGGGCAGGGGCCGAAAGTCTTTGTCCCCCCTGCCTGCCTTCCCAGGGGCTTTTAAATCGCCCCGGACAGCGGAGAAGTCCTCCGCTGTCCCAGGGTTTTTTAAAATGCTGGGGGTGGGAAGAAAAGCCCTTGTCCCCCCCCAGCCTTCAGAAGAGGTCCGGGGACAGACTGTCCCCGGACCTGGTCTGAATGCGGTTTCCCTAGGAACACATTAATTGATTTTCAATGCATTCCTATGGGAAACCGTGCATCGCAAGACGAAAAAACCGCAAGACGAAGAGACTTGCGGAACGAATTAATTTCGTCTTGCGAGGCACCGCTGTATAAATCATGGTCCATATTGACAGTTCGCCATCTGCTCACACCACCACCTGCTCAAACCAGTGGCAAGTCCTCCCTGTCTTCTGCCCTACAACAGTTGCTGGATGCAGAGCCAGTGACAAACAGAGCCAATGAACTCTAGTTTTGTCCCCATTCTCCTTCCTGCTGAATTCTACGACGGACAGCACTGACACTGAAGAGGAGGAAGCTGGCATGCAGTGCCAACCCCCTGGACTGGTTGTATGTAGGAAGGAAGGCAGTTAGGAGCTGGCCTGGGGGGCAGACCGGTTGGTGGGGAGTGCCTTATTCCCCCTAATGAACCTGCCTCCACTGGTCCAGGCGAGCGCTCCAATTGGAGAACAGCCTTTGCCAAAGACACTCAAATTCAGGACGAAAGGGAGAAGTGTGCTAAGAGGAAGACACACTTAGCAAACCCTCACCATGATCAACTCCCACCCAGAAACCTATGTCCCCACTGTGGAAGGACGTGTGGATCCAGAATCAGCCTCCACAGTCACTTATGGGCTCACTGTTAAGACTGTGTTCATGGAAGACAATCTTACTCAGGTACAAGTGATCGCCAAAGAAGAAGACTGGTCCATGGAGATGATGCGGAGGAGAATCAGAGCCAATGCATGGGTGGCATATTCTACACAGAGGAAGGAACACCGCTGGTTTGCCACCCCAACCCACACTGTCTTGCCATGTTTACACTTCTCCTGGCATTTCCAGTTTAGTGGTAAAGCATTGGAATGAGAGTACAGGAGGCCCCTGTGTACCCTGCCTATGGCAGACTGAGGGCGAACAAACATCACCTTCATCATTAACAACTTGCCCACTTGCCTAAGGTTAGTAAAAATTCCTTCCAGGCAAGCAGCTGGCCACTTTCATCCAACCATTGCTGGCCTGAGGCATTTTGCTGCCTGGAGCACAGCCCACCAGGGCCAGCACTTAAAGAATTCTTGCTGCACTATTCAGACACCAGTTCCTGCCTTTGCCGAACCCCACCTTATAGGGCCCCTAAAGTAGGTTGTTTCATGCTGCTGCCTGGTAGGGCTGGCCTAAAAACTACTAAGGAAAGAGAGTCCACTGCCTTCTGAGTCTGTTCTGCTGTAGAACAGCTTGTAATGCGTCATGTACACTGATGGTTCAGTGCAGCTAATGAACAGTAATACTATGTGTACTTTCTTGAGGATTTGTGCTGGTATATGGGAACAAAACGGCATGGGAGGAGTACACATGCAAAGTGTTGAGAATAGAAGTTTGACTGTAGAATTTGAGAAATATCAAAGC